AGGCTGATATCGGCATCTGCAGTCTCCCCTGGGGCCCCTCCCTCCTGCGCACCCCCCCACGCCCCCTACCTCCCAACCCGCCCCCTCCCCCGCCCGCACACGCCTGCCACAGGGCAGTGCGTCAGCCTCAGCGACTGGCAGCCCGGCCATAGGCACCTCATTTATTCAATAGCTCCAGGCCTGAAAAACACGCTAAATTGCATCCCATTTTCCCCAAGCCCATTAGCAACCAGCGGCCTCGTTCTCGGAAATTCTGCCGAGCAGCCGTGGCGTGAGGGGAGGGGGCTTTGTTCTGCCCCTGCCGCATCCCCCAGCCACCCCAGAATAGCACCATCTTTCTTCTGCGTGAAGCCCAGAGGACCCTGGCCTGCCCCGGTCTAGTTGCGGGTCAAGGGCAAGAACCCCACGGACCTGCACTCCCTCTGTGCCCAGCTGCTCTTCTGGCCTTTTCTGCGTGGCCTTTAGTGACCTTACCGCCCTCCAGCACGACTCACACCTCCTCAGAGTCCACCCCTGCCCTGGACTTCTGCCCGGCTCTGTGCCACCTTCCCACGGGGGACCCGGGCTGGGGCAGCAGCATCCTCCACCTGCAGGCTGGGCCCCAAGCAGGTGGGGCCCCTGTTTGATTTGACTTTTTCCCACCTGAAAATGGGAAAGGCAATGTTAATGGCTGGCTGCCAGGGGCAGGGGACTCTGAGCGGTGCGGGGCGGACGGCGGGGCTGTGTCAGGGGCTGTGCTGAGCCAATGACCCACGGTCTTTCTCCCCAGCCTGAGGCCTCAGGGTCTCCCAGCCCGGTGCCCTCCCCACTGCTCTCCGCCCTGAGCCCGGCGCTCAGAGACCGCTGGGCAGGCAGAGCCGAGCCTGTGAAACATGCATGCGCACTTGTGGCCTTGTCTTGTAGGTTACAAAGTGCCAGGGTGCCGCCAAAGGCCACTGAGACCCCGGGAATCCTGGAGAAGGGGGGATGTTGGAGAGAACTTGGGACAGCTGCCCGGCTTGGCGACAGGCACTACCTTGGGGTATGCTCTGTGCTGTGCACAGGTGGGCCAGGGCAGGTGAAGGCCCCGCAGGGGCTGTGGCGTTTTCTGGGGGACCAATGAAGTCCCCCCCATGGAGGGGGGCCGCAGCATTTCTTTGTTCCGAGCCCAGGGAGGAGGCAGCCTTAGCGAAGGCCGGCGCATCCGCTCACGTGTACCCTCCGGTACAGCTGCCACCCGCCTTCCTCCAGTACCCGCCAGGAAAATGTCAACGCTGCGCAGAAAATGGCAAAGGGAAGATGACAGGGACAGGAGACAAGCAGCAGCCCCACCCAGCAGCAGGCACCCTGCAGGGAAGCGGCAGGCAGCCGACGCTTCCTGGGGACCCAGAGGGCCCCTGCGCCCTGTGACGGCCCACAGCCCCCCTCCGCGCGCTGCCCACGCCTTCCTGCCTCTGCAGGCAAGAGGCGAGCGCAGGTGGCGTGTTCCACGCGCCCAGTAGCCCCCGAGCACCTAAACCAGTTGTGGGGCTGGGGGAGCGGCAGGGGGGCTGGCAGGACCTCGGGTGACAGGCACCTGTGCCGTGCACACTCTCAAGCCTCTCTCCCAGGAATCCGGGTCGTATGATGCGAAACCAAAGCTCAGAGGGTCCCTGTGACTCCCCCCAGGTGGCCTGCGTGGCAGAGCTGGCCCAAGGCTCAGGTGTGTTGGAACATGCGGCCTTGCCGGCGTCAACGCCCCCTTTACCTCCGTCCCCACCCGCTGGCTTGGTGCCCGAGTGGGGGTGAAGCCTGGGCAGCTTCCGCCCACCGGCCACTCGGCCTCCCTTCCCGAGGCCCGGAAAGGCCCCTGTCTTCCGGAATGCGAACTCCCTTCCTGTGTAAGAAACTCCGTTCTGTTCTCGGGCGGGCTGTGACCGCAGCCCGCTCAGCCAGACCCGCCGCTGCCTCCGCTACCCACCGACGGGCAGGGGGCAAGCTGAACAGTCCTCAGCGGGGACAGTGGCCCCTGGGACCTGGGAAGGCCTGGATGTGAGCGGAAGAGACCGCACATCTGTGAGGAGAGAGGCCCTGTCACCCAGAGGCCAGAGTGGGCCAGCTTCATTAGTGACCGGCAGAGATGGAGGAGGTCCTGCGGCTCGGTAGCACCAGACAAAGCAGCCCGGGGACGGCTGCTCAGGGTGTCAGTTGCTTTGGTCTCAGAAAGAAGCAGCAAGAAGCTATGCTTCAGAGAGCTGGGTCCACTCTGACCCCAAACCTTTCTTCTAGCCCAGCTCCGGATGCAGCAATGTCGTGGCTCTTTGCCATCTCTGCTGCCCGACTCCCTCGGCCCCTTCCTGCCCCGTCCAGGGTCCCTGACCCTGGCTCAGGCACCCAGAGCGCCCCCTTCCTCCAGTGCACATCAGTGTGTGTGTGCACGTGCACATGCCCATGTCTGTGCGTGGCGTGTGATCATTCACACGCACGTGTGCATTCCTCAACCTTTGAAAGCCATCACAGGCGTGGGGCTGGCAGGACAGGGCTGTGAGTGGGGTAAAGTGGGGAGACGAGTGGAGCCACTAAGGTGAGAGTGGCATCAGGTCACCACGCCCCTCACCAAGGCTGCTCTGGGGGCCTGCCAGCTCGGGGACCCCACTGTCCCCAGAACCAGCCTAGGTCACCGCACTGACCACTAGCCAGCATTACTTGGCCCTGCCGGCCCTGCCCTCTGACCCCAAGCTCATTTTTGTGAGATGCATCTGAGGGTCCCTGACTCTTTTTTCCCAGGCTCTTGCCTGGTCTTTTCTCCCAGCTCTGAACACTCAACTCTGTGCCCCTGACTGGAATTTCCCCCTCTGGACCCTCCCATCCAAGCTTGCAGCCCCTCCCCTCAGGCCTTTCCTTCCTTACGCTTCAGCTTCCTTTCCTGCAAAATGGGGGCAGGGACCGCCCTCTTCCACAGTCCTTGAGGGGACTGGTGATGCAGGCACCACGATCCAACATCTCCCACGTGCCAAAATCATTGCACGTGTCATCCGATTTGATCCCGCCCACTTTACGGATGAGAAGACTGAGTCCCAGTGCAGCCTAGTGGCTTCCCAGGCAAGCTCTGAGCCCAGATTTGTCCTGTTCACCAGGACCCTCTCCGGTTGGCACACAGTAGCTGCACGGGGAGGGTGGCTGTGCTGTGTCCCCACCAGAACAGTGGGTCAGTCCCAGGACAAAGTGATGAAGAAGAAAGGACAGGCTGGGGGCATAGCAGGAAATGATTCTCCCCAGGAAGCCCTCGCCGCAGCAGCTGTTTGGGGTATGCACCCAGAGGGCAGAGGGGGAGCGCACCGTGGGCTCACAGGGTGAGTGGGGCGGTTGTAGGGCAGGGAATGAGGCTGGGTCTTGTCCCCCTCCCCACATGCTTCTGCAGCCCTCAGACCCCCGCCCCCGGCAGAGGTGCTCACATGTGCCCACTGAGCTTCCCTCCCCTGACCCAGAGCCGAGGTGAGGAGTGGGGAAGGGGACTTGGGGCTCTTGGAAGGCCCAGTCCCACGTCCAGGGACCCTCAGCCCCCTCTGCAACCCGCCAAGGGGCTTTGCCTGGGGTCTAGATGCTGCGCTGAGCGCAGGGGGCTGTTGCTCCGCGTGGTTCTGTTCGGGGGATGCCATGGGGTTCTGGGGTCTACCGGGAGGGCACAGCCCCTGGACACTAGAGGTCTGGATCACAGGGGGTCCTGGGGGCAGGGTGACATCCAGGCTGCAGGAGTGCTGTGACTTTAGGGTCTGCGGGGATCCTAACCGGCCATAGGTCACATGAGGGAGGCCCCTGTTTAATGAGAACCTAAAGGGTCAGGCATCTCACCCCCATCCTGCCTCGGAGGTGAGTGGTAGTGTACCCATTTTGCAGATGAGGAAACCAAGGCTCAGAGACAAGAAAGCCACAGTGCCAGGAGGTGGCAAAGGCTGGGTTTGAACTCAGGTCCTCAGACTTGAAGCCATAACCAGCAGATCCTATTTTACTAGATTTTTCTATTGAAAGAATAAAAAATTAAGAATGGCATTCTCCCACGGTGCCCCCACCAGGGGTGGACCCCGGCTTCATCATACTTGAGAGTAGGAGTGTTTTTCAAAAGGTGGGGTTTCCCCCCCCAAGGGGACTCAGGACAGGGAGCTGAAGGTCTCGGCCCCAGTGAGGGCAGCTGGAGGTTTTTTTTTTTTCTTCCTTTTATTTCATCATATTATGGGGGTACAAATATTGTTAGGGTTAGCTGGAGGTTTTGAGCCTCTACCCAGCGGCTGGGCTCACCCAAGGGTCTCCCTGGGCACCTGCCAAAGCCACCCTCCCCCATGGGATAGAAGGGGCCAGGAATGAGGCCTCCACAGGCCTCAGTTTCCCCCTCTGTCGTATGCGACCATCCATCCAGAGCACCACTGGGGGCTGCTGGGGAAGCTGGGGGAGAAGGTGCCCTCCATCCCCACCCCGGATGACAGCTGCCCGCCTCTGCCTCTGCAGCAGACAGAGGAAGCAGGGGCGGCGCTGGGCCCCCTCCGCCTGCCCAGACAGCGGCGGCGGCAGAGCAGGGACGCTCTGGGGAAAACAGTGTGAGTCACCGCAGGCCGGAGCGTGTCCTTCCCGGCTGGAGAGCTGCGGCGGCAGGTTTCATAGGTAATTACGTAATTTACGAGGCTCCTGCTCCGGGCTGTGTCTGAGTCAGCCCGGCTGAGTCGTGACCAAGCGGGGGCTGGCAGCGCCAAGGCGTGGGCAGGGGCTCTGCCCCTGGGCGCTGTCCTCTGCCCCCTCTCGGGGCCCGGGAGCCGTCTGGGACCTCAGAGTGACGGAAGCGCATGTCTTTCCGCGGCCCCGGCTCCCGACTTGGGATGTGGGGCTCAGGATGTGGGGTGGGAGGGGGTCCCGGGGGGCTGCTCCCCGCGAAGTGGTTGCTGGACGAAGTCCAGTGACATTCTGCAAGAATCCCTCCCGAAGGCAGATGGCCTTCACTGGTAAACCTTCCACTTCAGCACCAGCTCCGAACATACCGACACACAGACATATTTACATTTTTATAATGCGTATTTATTATTCAAAGCTTGACAACATGCGAAGCGTCTGAAAAGGGAAAGCAGGAATTCTGACGCCCCTGCCCAGCTCACTGTCTGGCTGGGGGAGGCGCATGTGTCATCTGCTCGATCATGTCCGTTCGTTTGCACCCCCCATCACTCTGCGCCCACCGTCCCCCGGGGCCCGCGGCAGGGCTGCGTCTGTCCTGCCCAGGGCTGTGCCCTCGGGTGCTCCATCATGTCCTGTAAAACGTGGGGATGCGGGGGCGTCTCCACCTTCCGCGCTCTCCTGCTTCCTCGCCAGGTGGGGAGAAGCCTTGGAGCTGGCAGGGGTGGCCTTGGCCTTCTCTGAGAACCGGAACATTCTGGAGTCTTCTGAAGCAGGAGAGATCCAGAGGAGGAACAGGCAGGCTGAGGCTCCGAGATGGGTCCGTGGCAGGCAGAGCTGCGCTGAGAGGGGAGAGGGGCGTGAGAAGGAAGCAGCAGTGTTTCCCTGGGGTCTGCGTCCCACCCCCAGAGTGACCCGGGCCCACCATCTACTGCCCCCTGCCTCAGTTTCCCCATCTGCAGGGTGGGCGTCATGCTGGCAGCCACCTCCCAGGACAGAAAGCCGATGGAGACACCTGGCCGGCAGGGTGTTGGCCCCCTCGCCCCCTCCCAGCACTTCCTCCCTCAACCGGCCCCCTCCCCACCCGGAGCCCCCTTCCATTTTTCCTGGCTAAAAACCAACACAGACACCACCACACCCAGAAAGAGATAAATAAATAAAGGGAAAACAACCTCAACTGTGAAAAGCAGTCCAAATCTGAATTTTTTTCCGGCCTGAGTTAATTACACTTTAAATTGGCATGTTTACTGATCGGGGGATTTCGAGTTAACAGAGACAGCCCCCCCTCCCCAACTGTTTGTACAGTAAAACTCAGCAGGCTGGCGGGCTCCCCCAGGCCTTGGCAGGCCCTGCCGCTCCCCTGCCAAAGACAGAGCATAACAGAAACATCTAGTTCTGAGTGTTAGAGAAAACGAGGAGCTCACAGATGGCGGTGAGCCGCGTGCAGGAGGGTTTCCTGCGTCCCAGCCCCGCGCACCTTCTCCGCAGCTCCTGCCCCACGGAAGACCCGGGGCCCGCACCCTCCGGGACCCTGGAAGCCAGCTCCCCTGGACAGGGCCCCCTGGGCCCCATTGGGCGCCCAGCCTGGTCGAGGGTCCCTCAAACTGTGGCCCTGCCCTGTGGGCTTCACCCCCTTCTCCCTGGAGCACGGCTGTGTGGGGCGTGGGGGACCCCGGGCAGGAGGGGACCCCAGGAGGCTCCGTGTCACCCGTTCGCTCTGCAAACACTGACGGAGTCGGGAGGAGAGGCGGCGTGGCCTTTGCCTTGAGACCCCCAGACCCCACGTGCCCTGGAAAAACCCCATCCCTGCTCCAGGCTCAAGTGGAGGCCGATAGTGGTCCTTCCACCGGCCACTTACCAGACTCGAGGATGTCCCCGGGGTGTGGCCAGGCTCCCCTGCTCACAGCCACACCCCTCCCGGCAGCAGTGGTCTGGTGCGGCCACCTCTGTCCCAGTGCTTGGCTCACAGTCGGGATCAACCACAGGCCCTGCCCATGGGATGTCCGTGTCCTGAGCACCTGCCGGGGGTCCCGTCCAGCCTCACCTGCAAAGGGAAGACAAGGCCAACAAGCATTACTGGGCGCCTTCTCTGGACTAAATCCTGTGCCAGAAACAGGGGTACCATGGTAAACAAATCGAAAACAGTTCCTGCCCCACGGAGCTTGCAATCTCGGTGGGGAGAGACCTGTTGATCAAAACACGAGAGTAATGGAGATCTGACTGCACATGGAGGATGGATCAGGGAAGGCTTCCTGGAGGAGGTGGACTCCTGGAGCTGCCAGCTCACTGGGCCCAGCCTGGCCTTCCTCGGGGTCCCTCCCACCCCTAGCCCCCAGCCCCCAGCCCTGCACTTGCTCAGCCCGGGGCCTGGTGCCCACAGGCTGGCCGTGCAGCTACACATGCGGGTAATGCGCCTGCGCCTCTCCACGTCGCCGATAATGGGAAAATGATGAACGAGCCTCCATCGCACCCCGCTCTTCAGCCCTAAAGCCTGTCTCCGTCATGACAAATGGCCCCTCTACCTCTGCAGGGTCTTTTCAGCGGCCTCGGCTGTGAAGCCTTGGCAGCACTTGGTGGAGATTTATGTCCGTCTTGCCGGATTCTTCTTCCTTTTTTGCTTCTTCATTGCAGAGAACATGCTTTTATTTATTCACTCCACAAACGCTCTTCGGGCTTCCTCCCGGTGATAAAGAGATCGGATTCCATACTCCCTCTACGCTGGCGTCTGTGGCCAGATTCGATCCGAGGAGACAGGCATTCGCTGAGCACCTGCTGTGAGCCAGGGCTGAGAGCCTAGGGCCCCGGCCCCTGAAACCTGTGCCATGGGGCGGCTGAACCCCCGTGCCCTTGGGATCGAGGTGCCCATCTGGCATCGCTGCAGCCTCCCCGGGCCGAGTCGCCTCGGTTCTTGCACAGAAGGAGGTTGCTTATTCCCCAGAGTGGGGGGTCTTAACCCCACAGCTGGAGACAATCCTCAGAGCAAAGGCCACGGCAAAGCATCCTACCCTGCATGGACATGTTCTCTTCCCTGTCTGAGGGCGGGAGTAGAGGTGGGACAAGGTGAGTAAACTCTGGGTCCCACTCGGCCCTGACATTTGGGGGTTCTTTGCATCCTTGAGGGCCATGAGGACCGTGAGCTCCCTGGGGTCTCCTGGACTACAGCAGCCCTGAGTCTGTGCATGGTGGTGGTACACGGGCACGGATCGGGGCGGGGTCTGGCCCTGCAGAGCATGGCTGGACGGGCTCAGCTCTCCCCCTGGCTCTCCAGACGCCCTCCCTGGGTCCTTGTACACAACTGAGGCAGCGAATACAGCCCTCAAAGGCCGTCAATGGGAGCAAAAGGCACATGTCCATGCAGGTCTTTGGTCCTTAGATGGCCCACTGGGCCCTGTCCCAGGCCAGACACAAGCCAACGAATCCCGTTTCATGAGCGAGGGCTCCATGTTGGACAGGCATCAGGTGGGCACAGAGAAAAAAACCAACGAACATTCTGGCAAGCTAAGTCTTTGGGGAAAGCGGGCCTATCTGCCTATGCGGAGAATTCAGAGGCTGGATGAGCTGACTGTGCTCTAGGACACGGGGACTCCTAACAGCCTGGAGCCAGACCCTGACCCGCCTCCTGCTGGGCCATCTTGGGGGAGTCACTCAACCTCTCTGGGCTCCATTTCCTCCTCTGAGAAGCAGAACCTGCCCCCTACCTGCCCACTGGCCAGGACCAAAGCAAACGTCCTTCAGGGCATCTACTGTTTTTCTTATCTCCACTTGCAAACAGTAAGGGGACTACAGACCCAGTTTGCTCAATTTCCCAGCCATGTCCCAGAGACACAGTGGCCATCAGCGAGCACTTGCAGGCAGCACGTGCTGGAAAACAGTGCTCCCTGCATGCACTCGGACCCGCGGCTGGGCTTACACAGGGCCGGGGAGATGAGCCAAGTCACTGCCCCTCTGGCTAGAGGGTCCACAGAGACCTCCATCCCAGCCTCTCGGGGGACAGACATTTTCATTTGGCTTATCAAACGAGAAAGGCCCTTTGTTTATATTTTTTTTTCTTCTCCTCAAACAATAGATAACTCAGTAATTTTGCTTTTAATGAAATCCCGCATCGAGTGGCGCAGGGTCACCGTCTTTGGCTTGGAACATGCACGCTGCCCAATGCCTGGTAGCCCGGGCTGACATTTTGTCTCATGCATAATGCTCAAGTGGCAGGTGATGTGCCCAGCGCTCTTCCCCAGCAGTGTCCTGGGAGACGCGGGGGGCGGCCTGCCCGCTAAGGCTGTGGTATGGAGACGGTTACATGGAAGCTATTAAACAAGGCTAATGTCGTTCTGCCCACACACATACATTTAATATATTCCAAAGTGTGTAGATGCATTAACAGCAATTTTCATCTCCAAATGTTCCCATTTAGTCAGTTCCATGCATAAAATATTAGCCCTGACACCGCACTCCAGCCTGTTGCAGCTGGAGCTCCCCAGAGCATCTGGCTCCCAGCGCCATGGAGTCTGCTGGAGGGGCGGGGGCACGCCCAGCGGACATCTGCAGCGAAACGCTGGGGCCTGTCACCCCTTCCGAGGCCCCGCCCCTCCCCCCACCCTCAAGAAAAAAAGAACTCAGACCCAGCCCACCCCGTCCCTGCTGCAGAAGCCCCTAGCTCTCAAATGACATCCTGCAAGGAAAAAGCTAGAAAACCAAACAGCTTTTAACAAATGCGAAGAATTTCTAAAATCCAATTAACATATTCATGGGCTCGGTCACCGCAGCTTATTGAGTACCTGTTTCCCACCCAGCACTTTCCTGGGGATTAACCTGATCCCATCCTTGCCCTTGGGAACTCCATTAGTCAATCAACAAACACTCACTGTTCTTTCTGCTACTGTGGGCCTGGCCAGGGTTTCGGGGGTAGGGACACAGCACAGGATAAAACAGAAAAAAAATTAATTAATCCCTGCCCCGAGAAATCTTATAGTGCCAGGCAGGGTGGAGAAGGTGGACTTCGACAGCAGGCTCTCAGAGAGCAGGAGCTGGGAAGAGACATGACAGGGCACCGGCAGCATGTGGCAGGGAAGGTGGGGCCGGGCTGCTTTTGGCGGGGTTCTCAGGGACAGCCTTGCTCAACAAGGGCCATTCCACCCCTTGGGACCCCCAACCCCTGAGAAAGGGGTACGCAAGAGGCACGGGGCTGGGGAAGGGAGCGCTGGGCCCTCTGGATGGGCCTCCCGGAAGCAGGGGCGAGGACAGGGGCGAGGACAGTGGACAGAAACAAGCCGGACAGACAGCGAGGCTTCCGAGGTGGAGGAGGAGGATGGCCCACCTGGGGGCGTTGGAAGTCCTCCGTGCAGTTTTGGCCGCCAGCCCGAGGGAAGGGGGCTGTGCAGGGGCTCCGGGCAGGAAGGAAAGACAGCTGGACTGCACTCTGGAAAGTTCTCCTCTGCAGAAAGAGGAGGGGCACTGGAGGGAGACCCAAGTGCGGGGCTGTTCAGGGGTCCCGGCCAGAGAAGTAGGCGCGGGGCGGAGACGTCCAAGGCAAGGATGGGGTGCCCCACCGCGGGGGAGGACGCAAGCCCCGCCCAGAAAGAACCTCCCGCCGCCCAGAAGACAATTAGAAACACCGAACAGCCACAGCTCATCGTTAGGAGGCGCCCTGGGGGCGCACCTTGCTAAGCGCCCCAGCCCTTCCCACCCGCAGTGCGGCGGCCGCTTCCGGAGGCGCTGGCTGTGCAGTCGCTGAAGGCAGAGTAGGGCTGGGGTGCAAGCGGGAAATAAGCACCGGCAGGTGGAAGCTGAGCCCAGCCGGTGCTACCCTCCCGCCTGCAAGGACGCAGCCACGGTACTGCTGACTCCGGAACCGCCACTCCGTCGCGCTCTCACAAGCCCTCCAGAACGGAATGGACCCCGAAAACTAACGGGCAGGCGGCGCGGGTCCTACAGAGTCCACCGGGTGCGCCCGGGCACAGGCCGGTGCTGCCGAGTCGGCGACGCGCACGGAGTCGTCCCAGGCGGGATTGGGCACCGGAAAGAGGTTGACTGTATAATATTCATCGTATAGAAAGTGAACACCTCACAGGCAACCTATTTCAGGCACCGCCGAGCAGAGCAGCGCTGAGTCCGGAGAGGCGCTTCTTCCTCCGAGGCGGCCCCGCCACCGGCGGGGGAGGACGCGGGCGGCACGTGCTGGCCGGGCCGCGCGCCCGGGCGCAGCGCGGGGCGGGAGCGTGCAGGCGGCGCGGGCGCCGAAGAGAGGTCGACCGTGTATTGTGCGGCAGGAGCTATGCGGACGCGCCACGGGCAACCTCTCCTCGACACCGCGAGGGCAGCATGCGGCGGGCGACGGTGGCTGGCGGGGCGCACATGCGGGGGCGGGGCGCACACGCGGGGTGGGGGGACAGTGGGGGCGGGGCGCACATGCAGGGATGGACAGCGGCGGCGGGACACGCGGCGGGGGACGGGAGTAGCAGGCGGCCTCCAATGCAGAACCCCCCCCAGCTCTGCCTCCATGCTGTCGGGTAGAAAACGGACCGAACCTCTGTCACGCGTCACACGGCAAGCAAACGCTTCCCACCCAAACCCCAGGCCCTCCCCAAACCCAGCATGGCCCCAGGAAGCTCTCCCACGATGGACCCAACACTGAGAGTCACTAGACAGGGGGACATGTCACACGCAGAGACCATGCATTCACGTACCCTGGAGGGGCCGGTGCGGCGCGCGCCCCCCGTTCCGCTGAGCGCCAGGTGGTACCGAAAACAGGCCATCTGTGTTATATTCGTCATTAATAAAGCGAACTCATCACAGACAACCTCTCCTCAAGTACCCAAGGTGACGTCGTCAACCAAGAACCACGGCTGCTGCGCCCCAGGTGCTGGCGTCGCCTCCGGGGAGCCGACCTGGGGATGGATAGGACAGCGAAGGTGAGAAGACACAGGCAACGACACCTGCCCAGCCATCCAAGTCCCCACGGAGGCAGCGGCACCACAGCCTCGGCCCCACCCCACCCACAAGGGCGTCATCTCCAACAGGTCCTCCAAGGTGAGATTTGATACTGAGAAAAGATCAACCATGTATTATTCGAAGCCAATAAAGCGAATATAACACGGTCGATCTCCCTTCAAGTACCAGAAACGGCGCGGAGCTGAGGCGCGGTCGGCTCCCCGGGCCTGGGCCCGCAGGCGGCAGTGGGTACGGACGGCTAGTGGACCAGGTGAAGTACATTGGGGACAATTACTTTCCAACTGGTCGACCATCCGTCCCCATACCCCAGAGCGGTGCTGATGCCGGCGATCTTCCCGAGGTGCCGCGCCTCCAGGACGCCTCCCTGGTGGAATTTGATACCGAAGAGGGGTTCACCGAGCAACATTCGTCGTCCAGATGCAAAGTTGCTCGGGTAACCTCTCCCCGAGTACCATGGAGAGGCGCGGACTAAGGCGGATGCGTCAAGGTGGCCGTGCTTCCAGAAGACCCTCCCAAGGGCCCTCCCCACGCCCCGAGCGTCATTCCATCACCTCCCCAGAACGAATCCAGAGACCCTTCCAGGGCTTGAGCGCCAGAGGCAGGCCCTCGCGCCGCCGACCCTGGGAAGAGTGCCGCGCTGCCCAGGCGCCTGGCCGCAGGAAGGTGAAAGCGCATGGCGCTCTTCCCACACCCTGCACGGGGCCACTCCAGCGCCCCGCAAGACGCGAATCCTCCCCCCAGGCACCACATTTACCCCTAGAACTGCCCCCACCTCCGGGTCCTGCCAACACCGCCCCCAACCCACACAGGGCCGTGTCCTCCCGACAGTCCTCCAAAGGGTGAGTTGACATTTAACAACAACGGGTTGGCCAATCCATTAGCCTCATAAACAAAGCAAGTGACACATTAAACATAAGGGGGGAGGGACAAAGGAAGAAGCAAAAGGCAAATGAATCCCAGATGGCGTCTCTTCACAAAGACGCACAGCAGACCCCATGGCAGAACCCTGGCCTCCCCCAAAGTCAGTCTCCCATCCAGAATGTTCCTCCTGGGATAGGCTGGCCAGCGAGGGTCAGGGACCCGACGACATATGCCACAAGCAGAGTCTGGATTCTGTGCCCACCACCCATTTTATCAACTTTGGAGTGGGACCGACAGCAGAATCCTTTCCCTGACGTTGGCATGAGTTCTCAGTCTGGCTACGGTTGGTGCGAGAGGCCAGCCACGTGCGGTCTGTCCTAAAGAAAGAAAACACGACACAGAAGGATGTCCCTCCAGGTCACACGGGCACTGACCTGCACTCTGAGCCTCCTTCCCGGAGCGGGCGTGGCCTCCTGGAGTGCTCGTGGGAACAGAGTGGCCGGCGACAGGGAGTGGACCAGAGGACACGCATCTTCGGGACTTCCAGGTGTGTCCTGGGCGCGGCACCCAGGCACCACCCTGGAGAGGGCCCTGGCTGCTGGCCACCTCCTGAGGGCAGCGTGGCTTCTGGACATCCTCCGAGGTAGGGACGGATCTGAAAGAGACCCACTCTGCCATGTTGGTCGCAAAGGAAGTGCGCTGGCAAATGACAGCCTCTTTTCACATCCAGGGCAATGGTTTTGACCCTGGAAACATCAAGCCCAGAAGGACCTTCCAAACAAAGCTCAGCCTCTGTGACTGAGTGACAATTTAGCCCCAAAGAAGGGTATGTCTTTGAGGCCAGCATAGGGCCTTGAAGGGCTGGAGTCTGAGGAAAGATTAAATGTTCTGGAATGTTCTGGGCTTCCTGTGTATTCAGCAATGGTACTGGAGGCAACTGCTCTGGAAGACAGACGCCGCTGACCATGGAACTTCTGCTTCCCTCTGGGGTCAGCATCCCGCCCTGAGCCCGCTGGGGATGAAGGGAGACCGAGGGGGACTGGAGCAGGTGATGCATGTCATTAACACAGCAATGCTCTGGTGACAACATGTACCATCTCCTAGAGGACACCTTACCAGCAGGTCACCCCTGAGGTCGCACACCTGTCCTGGAAGCTCTCTGGGAAGGTCTGGGGTGGAAGGAAAAGGCCGACTGCGCAAAGCCACCCCGTGTTGTGACCGAGCTCCTGCTGACCCCACTGACTCCACTCCACACACACACGGGCTTAACCATCATAACAAGAACTGAACCGAGATTGATTTTCATAAAATCATGTTTTTCAGAGCGAATTCCATTAAACTAATCCAATTCCCTGTTTGGCTTTTTTGACTATGCCGTTGAGCTGTTTTCATTTCTTTTATTTCCCTTGTTATTTTCCCAAAATCATTTTCATTAGGATCAATTCTTTTCCATTTAAAAATCTGAATGAAGATTTGGTTCTTCAATGTGCTTTTGCCGACATCGAATATTACTGTTTATAGCTGCCGCCACCATGAGCTTCCTCTTGCGGCTGCTGCATCTCCAGCATTCTGTTTCCCCGGGTCAGATGTCGCCACTGAAATGTTGTCAAGAAAATTGGATTCTTCTGCCAATTTGCAGTCAATTGAACACATTTCGCTCCGTGCCGTTTCAGCTGTTTTTAGTTTTATTTTGTGTTGATTATTTTTATCACTATTATTTAATACAAATGGGATGAAATACTGATGGCATCTATTTGTTTCATATCCCAGGAGAAAATTGAAAGACGTGCTTGGCTGGGGGGTAGAGAAAGAGAACGAGAGACGAGGAGGGGCACGGAGACAGGATGAGTGCCTGAGATGGAGCCCCAGACGGAGGGCTGGGGACAGCTGGGACAAGGGGGGGCTGCGGCATCCCATGGCGGTGTGTCGAGCGCAGGCTCTGCCTGTCCATAAGATCCGAATATCTTCAGGGAAAAACTGGTGCCACCAGTCTTTGGTCAATGTCTTTGGGGTCAGCAGTGACAGTGGCGGCGTAAGGACGGAGGGTCCCAGGTGAGAGCCGACGCCAACTCGCTCTGACACCGAGCTTCCCGGGCCCCATCTCGGGCCGAGCTGGTATTCTCCCGTCGCCATCTGTTCTTGTGCCCTGGAGACGTGCAGGCACCCATGTCGATACCACGTGCGCTTGTTCACGGGAGAGGTGTAGACCCCAAGCTCGCCACTGGGTCTCCGAAGCCATCCCAAGCAGAATTTGATACTCAAACAAAAGTTGCCTTTGTGTGATTCAACATAAATAAAGCGAATTCACCAAGGGCAACCTCTGCTCAAGGATCAAACGTCAGCACGGGCAAGGACGCCAACGAGTCTTCTCCTCTCCAAAGGCGGCGGCGCCCGTGCGGGGTTCACGGCCCATTCCCACCGCCGCGCTCCCCCTCTCGCTTGCTCTCTCCTGGCGCTACCCCTGCGGAGCCCTCGGGCCGTGGCCAGAGCACGGTCTGCTGTGGACCAGCTGTCGCGGTGCTGGAGGCTGCCCCCCGAGCTGGCTTCGGGCCTGAGTGAGCACTCAGGTCTTGGACGGGGCCCGCGCGAGGGAAGCATCTGGTCACTTACCCTACGGGGCAGGAGCACTGAGGTCCAGCACCCAGAGCTGGCTTCTCCTCCGGGAAGTCCCTGAGATGGGATTCGACACAGCGGAGGGAGCTGTTGCTTGACCAGAAGACCACGGCAGTGTCCACCTCGCCCACAGCGGGGGGTGGGAGCCTGCCCTGAAGGCTGGCGACTCTCCCAGAGGGTGGCATCTTCAGAGGGTGGGGCGGGGTGGCACCAGAAAGAAAGCAGGGGTGTGGGGGACCATCTCCCTTCACGCTTGCTTCCAGGGGGCCTCAAAGAGGGTGTAATAAAGAAAACATGTCTGACTGCCATCTGCTCATTCGTTCAGCGTCACGGCTACCGTGCACATCTGGGCACACAGTGGTGGACGAGACAGACAAGGATTCTGCCCTCTGGGAGCTGGAATTCTATTGAGTGAGAGAACAATAAATGATGCTCTACGCAATAATAACACTAACATAATTGCAATCATGCTAAGAAACAACAGTCATTCAACTTTACTGCGTGCCTGAACACTTCATGTATACACCGAGTCTCCATGCCTACCTTAGGAGTAGTGTTAACACTATTTTACAGATGAAGAAACTGAGGCACAAAGAGCTAACAGGTTAAGGAACTTGCCCGAGGTCACGCAGCTAGCAGTGTAAGGTAGTAATAAACGCTGTGAATGCTGCTTATCTTGCACCAGGGATAATCAGGCATGCATGGAAACCTGTCTTCAGACACCACCGGCTCTCACTGCTGAGGAAACCCCTCTCCCCAGAGCTGGCTGTGCTTCCCTGAGACCACCCGGGGCTGCTTGAGGGCCTGGAGTCTCCATTCCTCCTGGAGTCCATTTCCCGCATCATGCTGAGTTCACACCCAACCTCCTTCGCTCACTAATGAGTCTTTGAGGAAGGGAGGGTAACGGTGACCGGAAATCCACGGTCTCACCTAAAAACTCAGCGCCATTTCTGGGAATTCTTCCTAATGATGGCCATGACACGGGTCGGGTGACAAAGTCAGACATAAAGCACTGATCATGCAGTAGGCGATCCATTTCCTTACCCTGCACAGGGGCCGGCAGGAATTTCCCCTGGTGACGTTTTCCCAAGAAGAATTTAGTACTGAAAGGAGATTGGCCATGTAATACTCATCATAAATAAAATGAACACACCATGGACAACCTCCATTCAAGTACCTGACTCTGGCGCTCACTTCCGGTGTGGCCGGGACAGCAGCAGGCCTAAGGACAGAGGAGATGCAGAAGGTCAGGAAGATGGCACCACAGTGCAGCCATAAAACACATGCTCCATGGGCCAGGCCACATTCAGTGCCTTCCTGGTAATTCACTCCAAACCCAGGAAGCCATTCAGGGAGGGACATGCTACAACAAAGAGGTGTGCAGAGCACCAGCTGTCACATCAAAGAGAGCGCATCCGGGAAGACCGCTTGTCGGACACGTGGGTGCCTACCAGGGAGCTGCAGCCTCTTCCACAGCACTGGCACCATGAACCAGCAGGGCACCCAGAGCTGGACACAGGTTCCACACACGTGGGAAGGCGTGCACACTCTGGGCTTAGCTGCCTATTTCAGTGTGCAGGCACCAGCTATAGTTCCTGAACTTGGCATTGCCCTAGGGTGCTTTTGGGCCAGAGTTGATACTTTATCTATTTATTTTTTGAGACAAGAGTCTCACTCTGTCGCCTGGGCTAGAGTGCCGTGGCGTCAGCCTAGCTCACAGCAACCTCAAACTACTGGGCTCAAGCGATCCTCCTGCCTCAGCCTCCCGAGTAGCTGGGACTACAGGCACGTACCACCATGCCTGGCTCATTTTTTCCATATATATTTTTAGTTGACCAATTAATTTCTTTTTATTTTTTGGTAGAGATGGGGTCTCGCTCTTGCTCAGGCTGGTTTCGAATTCCTGACCTTAAGCGATCCACACGTCTCGGCCTCCCAGAGGGCTAGGATTACAGATGTGAGCCACCGCGCCCGGCCCCAGAGTTGATACTTTAAAAATGTCAACTTGCATGACTGCATCATGGAAGACTTCTCTATAAGTACTGCAGTGTAGCTCTGATAAGAAAAGCCCCACTTTTGCCTCAAAGTGGGCACCACCCCCAGCAATCTTCCCAAGGATAGGTGACACACGGGTTAGGACCAGCTTCAGGAGGGCACATGCTTGGCCCGGTCAGCTGTGCGGCTGTGGTCAACAGTCCCTTGGCTTACCCAGGAGAGGAACTGATACCAAGTTCCTGCCCTGAAATGAGACTCTGCTCCAGGAAGCCCTCCAAGGCGGGATTTGGTACTGAAAAATAGGTCAACCGTGTATGATTCGTCACAAATAAAGCGAAGGCAACACGGATAACCTATCCTCAAGCACCGCACATTAGCACCGGCACGGTGTCAACGCCTCTTCTCCACAGTTGGCCTCCTCCAGGAAGTTCCCCTGAGGACAGAGTGAGCACGGAAGGTTAGTGGACTGCCTGCAAGGGGGCTGAGAACAGAGCACACACCCGAGTTCCACTGTCCCATCTCAGACCCTGCGGTAGTTGAGGCCTCGATGCCTTGGCCAAGGTCATCCCCCTATCTAGGGAGCACTTCCAGAAGGATTGATGGTGGAGAGGTCTAGTGCACAGAAATTCATCATTCCGATCGCGGCGGGGAACATTCCCTCCGTTCACGTTAGCATCGAGGCCAACAGCAAGGATCCTTTCCTTCCATAGGCCTTGTGTGCAGGAAGCCCTCCAAAGCTAAGTCCATTATGAAGAGGTTGACTTTGCAATACTGACCATAAAAAAGAGATAGTGTTAAATGCAAGCTTTATTATCCCACAGCTTGGCACTAACCTCAGAATCATGGCCTCATCTCCAACAGTGGGCACAACTTCCAGGAAGTCTTCCTGAGGATAGAGTGCATACAAAGAGTTAACCGTACAGCAGACACATGACGAAAAAAATCTTCCACTATTAACAGCAAATTCACATACCTGTCGAGTGGTGTTGACTCCATGTCCCTCCCAGAAGTTGGCATTGCAAGAAGGCATCCTGCCAAGGTGGAAGGTGATACTGAGAAAGGGCTATGTGGGTATGATCATTTTATTTTTTTTTTTTTTTTTTTTTTTTACGGAGTCTGGGTTTGTTGCCCAGGCTAGAGTGAGTGCCGTGGCGTCAGCCTAGCTCACAGCAACTTCAAAGTAATTTATCTCCTTTTTTTTTTTTTTTTTTTTTTTTTTTTTTTTAATAAAAGTATGTTTTGCTGAAGGTATGATCATTTTAAATAGACAAATGTACAGTGGAAATGGCAACAGAGAGATATGCAGATGAAGACAGCCACCTGGGGCCAGATCACAGATTTTTGTTCTCCTCCAGTGTATGATGAAATGAATAAGACGGATCGTTTCACCCAAGAGAAGATCACCACATAGAATAGAAAAGAATGCATAGAAATAATAGAAGAAATCATTGAAAGAAAGGAATCAATTCCACTAATGAAGAAGGCATCATATGATTCAGAAAAATTTATAAAGAAAAATAGTGACCGAGTCATACCCTGGTAAAGTCACCACTATACAAGACTAAAGGAAGAATCAGGATATATGTTCAGGAAAAAAAAAAAAATAACTCACATATCCAGGAGGAGAGAATTCTGTCTTTGGGCTTGTCCACAGCAGTGTTTTAACACCGGAAAGCAACGGAGCAAAGTCCACAAAGGTGTGAGAGAAGCAAACTGAAAGCCAAGACTGTCACACTAAGTTAATCCATCACTCAGCTCAAAGGCTGAACTGCAGCAACAGCTAACAGGGAACCCTCTGCTCCAAAAATGCAAAGAAATGTTGGATAAAATGCAACTACAGCCAAAATCAACTGGTAAATAAACACACAGCTGAAAGGAACAAAAGAAAAGCAAACCCTTGGGTGCTAATGAAGAATTTAATCTAGAGCAACAAGCTTGCACCCTGCCACCAAGGGAGCCGGGAGCTGCAGTGCTAGAGGCTCCAAGGGTCTGGAGCCTTGGAGCCCAAGTACAGACAGGAATAGGAGATGTGACCTTGGGCCCAAGAGAGGTGGACCTGGAATGAAAAGGGAAACCAGAAAACTCTATAATGGCCCAGGGGAATGATAAGAGCGTTTGTTTCTGTCTAGGCAGTGGGTAGATGAGGCCCTCTGTGAGATACCCAAAGCTTCAGGGCAAAGATGTGGTAAGAATTTAGACTAACTATAAGGACTGGGAATTCATAAGCCAACAAATTGAGTAGGAAAACTGGTCCCAAGTGGTAAAATCCTTAGGGTGCCAGGCAGAACCAAATGCAAACCATAATATTACAATGCTTATGCACAGGGAACAAAACCAAACCAAAACACTTTAATCCTCAACTGATAATCTCACAATGTAAAACTACAAAATGCATAAAGAAAGGCACCATCATGAAAGTGTCAATAGACTCAATAGAGAAAAGGACTTGTAACCCTAAAGGTGAAAGAAATTATACAATAAGTATTTTTAAAGTGAATAAAGAGATTAAAAAAGAGCTTGAAATCACAAGAGCCAAATAGAACAGTATGGAAAAATAACAGGCAGATGAGAAAAGGTGTAAGAGCAATGGTCAGACATTCTCAGAGATGAAGGACCTCACAGAATATTGTACCCCAAAGTCTTTCTAAAAAAGTACATGAAGATTAACTAGATAATACAGTCCAGCTAAGTAGGAGCTACTTGGAGAAGCCACATTAAAAGAGCTAGTGAAAGACTCAATGCAGAAGACAGAGGGATAGTATCTATAAGTTTCTGAGAAAAAAACAAGTAGGCTCAGAATTTTATACCCAGCTAAGCTGTCCCTTGTGCATAAAGAGACAGATACTCTCAAATGTGTAATACCTCAAGGGTAGTGTCCATGAGCCAATATTGAAGAAACAGTGATAAATTCAATTCCATTGTGATAATTTTAAAATTAAAAACTAAGGAACAGAGAAGCTTTAGTTTAAGGAAAATAAAAAAAAACTAGTGGTGAGTAATGAATTCATTTAAATATAGAACTATGATTAAACTACTGCAAGAATTATAGTTATACAACAAAATGCAAATATTTATAATGGAAAAATTAAAATATGTAACTTAAAAAAGATAGGAGGTGGTAAGCAAAGACAGTATAAGAGTGCTGACTTCTTTATTTTTCTGAACTAGGAATGAAAATGAAGCAGTTAAAAAACATAATGATCCCGACCACTTAATGTTTTACACACTTTATTTTTCTTAACTTTATAGGGATCTTTTAAGAGTTAATACTTCCTGTAGTGAAAACATAAATATTTATCAATTCTTTCAATCTCTCTTTTGCTTGTACTTTATGTTAAATTCAAGTAAAATTAAAGTTAACATTTTTAATAAAAATGATTAGATATAGTGTGATCTCATATCTGTGAAGTATTTTGCTCTCTTTTTGTCTATCTTCCTATTTGCATATATGCTTAGGCAGGTGTTTAAAATTTCTAAAGTCCTTGATGGTTATTTCTGGGTGCACAGAGAAATGCATAATTTTCCCTCTATAATTTTGTTTAGATTTTTCCATATCACTTGAATTTTATTATAAACATGTGTCATTTTTATAATTATGGTAATAAGGTAGAATAATTATCCTTTTTGAAAAGGAAAATGAGAAATTGAAAATAGAACTATTTTCTGTCCTTGAATTTAGTGTGGCCTCCTGATCAACAGATATGGTCAATCACTCTTTTACTTGGCCTGAAAAAGTACTGAAACTGGTGCCCCTTCCCCGAATTTGCCAACATGTCTAAGAAGTCCTCCCTCTAAGACAAGATTGAATAGTGAAATAGAAGGGAACTATCCATTGCTTTTCTTTAAAAGAAAAATAGGGAGGAGGAAGACAAAAAAAAACAGACACATCATGGACACCACCACTTCCTCAGTCACTGAGAGTCTTAAACCTAGATCATCTGTTTGCTCCCAAAAGCTGGTACTGTTTTCTATGAATAGACTGGATGTGGACTGGGAGGCTTAGGCTTAGCAGTACCTGTCTATAAGTTCTAGGCCCACCACATGTTCGAGCACACTGGCATGAAACCAACACGAGCATGGCGTCCCCCAAATCGGCATCAGGTCCAAGAAGACACCCGGTGAGATGTGATACCGAAAAGAGGTCGACCGTGTATTGGGCATTATTAAACAATGCAAACTCACCACGGACGACCTCCCTCCGAGTACCAGGAGGTGGCACTGCTTGCGGTATCTTCCACACAGCCTGGGCAGCTTGGGAGTGGCCTCTGAGGGTGGATGGGACCCTAAGGATGAGTGGACCAGTGACTCAATTCCCAATCAAACCCATGCTCTCCAGCCAACCCCTGGTTCACCAACCCAGGATTAGTGTGGGCAGAAATGCCACTTCCTGCACATGACTGGCCATGCACACAACACTTAATAATGCAGAGGAGTCAGCAGCACAGGAGACATTACAAACAAAGCGAACCACACGTTTGCAAAAGCAGGTCAACCACGGTTTCCTTGGTAAATCTGGGATCCCCTTAAAGGAGCTCCCTGGAGGGTGTGGGGCTGTTGTGGGTTAGTAAACCAGGGGTCACACTAAAGGGTCCTCTCTCCTATTCTCTTCTATATCCTTAGGGTTGAATAGTAAAAGATGCTTATGGATGCCCAAGATTCAACCAAGAGTTGCCCAAATTCAACCTTGGAGTTGAATTTGATAATAAGAAAAAAGAAGCTAGCCATGTGTATTTCAATATTAATTCTTTAAAAGGCAGGGCATCTCGACAATCTCCCTTGCTTTTCCTAGTGTTGGTAGTACCCCAGGAAGTTGTCTTAGGGTCAGCTTGGATGCTAGGGCTAGTGGGTCAATAACATGCATCATCAGGAAAGTGCTTGCCTAGGCTCAGCCATCCAGAAACCTACCTGGGACACAGCACTGGCTCAGGAAGCCCTCCGAGGCAGAATCTGACACTAAAAGAGAGGAGAGCCGTGTATGACTCGCTTTGATGAATCGAATTCATCACGGCCAGCCTCTCTCCAAGTACCATAAATGAACACTGGTGAGAAATCCATTGCCTCTCTCACAAAAGCAGCTGCCCCTCTCAGGAGTCCTGTTAGAGATGGGTGGGATAGCGTTGGGTAGTGGGCCGAGCCGAGTGACATACACCCGCATTAAGTGCATGCTCACCCGAGGCACACTTACCTTAGGGCGGGGCTGGCGTTTTGTTCTGCCTTCCCCTGCTGCGGGGTGGGTGCAGTTAGTCCTCCCGGACAAGAGGGGCGCTGTGCCACAGCCGTCAAAAAATGAGCACATCTCGGTAGCCCCTAGTGGCGCTGACTGGAGAACAATGGCCGCTTCCCAAAGCCGGAATCCCCTCCAGGGATCCTCCTATGGAGAGACGGGATGCCAGGGGTTAGAGGACCAGATCACATACCTAAGAAATGAAGCACATGCTCTGCGAAGAACGATTGGATCACACACCCAGGAGAGAAGCTGCCCGCTCAGGTCCCTCATCAGAGGCAACATCGTGTCCAACATCAGAGGCCAGCACTTCGAGGAGGCTGCGATAGTGATGGAGGAGCTACCAAGGACGGCTCGGGGCACTCTACGTAAACACCACCCCCAAGACTACGGATCATCCTGGTCCACCGGGCACTCATAGCAAGTCCACTGCTGCTTCCCCAAAGGCGGCAGGATCTCCTGGAAGTCTTCCTGGGGTGCGATTGATGCTGAGGGTTGGTGACTAGGTGGCCCACAGGGTGAACAGAGTGCATGCCCCTCTGGTCAACCAGTCACACACCCTGGACGGTGCGGACACCAACATCTCTTCTGGAAGCTGGCCTCGGGCCCAGGAGGCCTCTCTTCAAAGTCTTGTAAGCTGCTGCTGGTGGCAGAACCACAGCCACGTCCCCAGAGTTAGCGTGGCCCGCGGAAGGCCGCCTACAGTGGATGGAGGCTCAGGTCATGGAACCTGGAGACTTACAGCTAGGCCAAGTGCACTGTCCATGGCCAACCATCCATTCTTGGTTTCTCCGTGTGGCTGACACAAAGGCTGTCTTTCCTAAAGTGGCCACTGTGTCCGGGAAGTCCTTAGAGGTAGCATTTGGTACTGAAAAAAGTGTTGTCCGTGAATGATTCGTCATAAGTAAAGCGAATCCACCACGAACAACTTCTCTTCAAGTACCACAGAGAAGCAGAGACAAGACAGACAAGGGGTCCCCTTCCATGTCTCCAGGGGCCGCGGCCTCCAACCAGTGTCCTGCGGGCAGAGCGGACACCGAGCATTAGGGAGGGGCGGGCACGTGTCTGGAGAGCACGCTGGCGTCCGGGGCCCGCCACTCACCTCGTCTGGAGTGATGCAGACACGGCTCCCTTTCCCTGGCGTTGACGTCACGCTCCGGAGTCCACGCGGGCAAGGTTGAGGAAGGAGAGGAGGGAGGCCGCCTACCACAGGCCGGGGGAACTCCGCGGTGTGTGGCCCCGGGTTTGCTGAACGGGGCCTGGGACTCCTCAACAGAGCACACTCAGTCAGCCCTCAGGCTCGGCGGGCACCAGCCCAGCACCTGCCAAGCCCACCGAGCTGCCATCGCAGGGTGCCCCTGGGGAGGCACGGCAGCCCCAGGTGGGCTGTCCACCACCACTCTGGTGGTCAAGGTGACCTTCTAAAGGTAGAACAGACGTCCCTCCCTGCTCACAGCCCTGCCATGACCTCCATCTCACCCAGAATAAAGTCAGAACCCTGCAGCCCTCCTGGGCTGCCTCTCCCGGCTCAGCTCCAGCGACCCCGCCACCTCCCCCAGCCCAGTCCCACCCCACCGGCCCCCTCACTCTCTTTAAACGTACCAGAGGGCCTTCTGCGGGCCAAACCCTCCTCTGCAAATGCTCCCACCCCAGGTGGCTACCTGGCCCACCCTACTTCCTTCCCATTCCCATCCTCAGAGAGTGCTTTCCAGATCCCATATGTAACACAAATGTCCACCTGGCTTTTAGGTCTTTCTTTTTGTCCAGAAAATGGAACACTGGACAAAATTATGCTCCAAAATTGGTGTTTTTTTGTCCATCTCTTCCACCAGTATGTAAAGTCCATGTGCACAAAGACTTTATCTTGTTCACTGTTCTACGCCACGGTCTAGAATCACCTAGAATACAGTGTGCACCCAGTCGTTACTCATGGAATGACCAAGCTATTCCTTGTTAGTCAATCAGTTCAGGAACCACACAGTTCTGCTAATAACAAGAGAATGCAATAGTAAAGTGGGAGTCTCCTCAAAAAGCACCGTGGCCAAAGCCAACATCCCTGTGACGAGGGGCCGGGTGTAGCGCTCCGGCAGGGGAGTAAGCCAAGTGAGGTGTGTCAGAAACACAAAGCCCAGGCTCTGCTCAATGAAAGCTCCACCTACTCAGAAAGATGCGATGCCACGTCTCCCCAGAGCTTGGCACTGTTTCCAGAAACCCCTCCCAGGCAAGATTAAATTCTCAAAAAGAGTCTGTCCTGTCAGCACTGTCACAAGGTATGTGGCGGGTGGTCCACCTGTGCACTAATGGTGCCTGGTGGCTCCTGGCCCGTGCAGTCCATCTTCAGGGGACTTCGGGGTGGAACTGTTCCAGTGCTCAGCCCCGCCCCACGTCCCTGGAGAGAGAGCTGCGGTGTGGGGAGGGCTGAACTGACGACAGCCATTAAGTGGCCCGTCACTTCCCACGATCCACCCTGTCCTGCCAATGAGGACCCCTCGGGATGACCAGCAAAAGCAACAGCATGACCAGTTACGCGTCGGTCAGCCCCACTGCTACAGCGCCACCACATCCTCGCGACGGTGTGTGCCTAGGCACTCGTCCCGACACCTGCAGCGGGTGCGGGTGTTTCCGTGAGTGGGATGCTCGCTGGTCCACCTTCCGTGGCGGCTTGGTGCAGATACCAACAGAAACTCAGGGCCTTCCTAGGCAACCATCCTCCTTGGTGATTAGACTTGGGTCACGGGTGTGACGAGTGACAAGCATGGCGAAGGAAGCCTATGCACCATGGTCAACCCTCCACGTACTTACCTTGGATGGATACTGAAGCCAAGAGCTCCTCCCTGAAGGTGGGACACTAGCCAGGAAGCCCTCCAAAGCAGCATTTGATACTGAAAAACTGGATGTCCCTGTATGATTCGTCTTAAGTAAAGCGAACACAGCAGGGATAACCACTCTTCAAGTACCGAAGGCGAACACTGACGAGCCACGTCTTCGCCAGAGTGGGCCTGGCCTCCAGCTAGTCCTCCTGAGGAGGGATTGGGGACTGAGGGTTAGGAGGACCGGGCGGTGCTCGCTGTAAACCAAGCCCATGCTCTCCGGCCAACCATGCATCCTGCCCCTGGGGAGGGGCTGCAGGCAGGAGTCTTTCCTGGAAGCGGCCCGGCCAAGATGGATACTTTAAAATACACAAAGCCCCCCTCGGACGGCTCAGCATAAACAAAGCAAACCCAGCAAGGAGAACATCTTTTCCAGTGCCAGGCAATAGCTCCAGTGAGGAAGCTACCACCTCTTCTTCCAAGCTGGCATGGCCTCCGGGAGAAGTCACTGGATAGGTAGGGACTGTGGATCAGTTGACATACATCATTTATAAAATGTATGTTCTCTGATCAACCATCCACTCCCCTATCATGGACAGAGACCGCAGGTACGCCTCCAAGGAGTTTGTCCTGAAAAACAGCAGCTCCAACGTGATTAGCCGTGGACACCACCCAGGCTCCCTGGTCGCCCCCCTCCCCACGACACGGCTCTGCCCCGAGGCATCCACAGCCTCAATGCCGCAGCTTAAGGGACCGTGTGGTCTAATCTCAGTCAAGGCACAGGCCCCGCAATGGACCATCCTTTCAGACATTTGGGGAGGTGCTGGACCAATGTCCCCTCCCCGAAGCTGGAATCATATCCAGGACGGATGTAACGCTGCATCATCACATTTTAACATGGAAAGTGTCGTAGACTGAACCCACCATGGACAGGACCTCTTCGGGTGTGGCAGAGGAGGAGTCCCCATGCCTCCTCCTGTAGGTAGCCCGGATGGATGCTGAGGGTCAAAGACAAAGAAAGCCAGTGACCTGGTTCAACATGGTTCAATATGCCCCATGGCCTCTGGTCCATCAGCCCTTCCTCGACTTTGGACTGACATGGAAGGCCACAACCTTTCCCTGGACTTGCCCGTCATCCCAAGGGTCCTCATGGGCAGGACAGGGTGGATCATGGGAAGTGACGGGCCACTTAATGGCTGTCGTCAGTTCAGCTCTCCCCACACCGCAGCTCTCTCCCCAGGGACGTGGGGCGGGGCTGAGCACTGGAACAGTTCCACCCCGAAGTCCCCTGAAGATGGACTGCACGGGCCAGGAGCCACCAGGCACCATTAGTGCACAGGTGGACCACCCGCCACGTACCTTGTGACAGTGCTGACGCCGGCCTCCCCCCTGACAGTGGGCACCTCCACACCCGCTTCCACGATGCTGGGATCCTGTCCACCGTGCGGTAGCCGTCGTGAACAATGCAAAGCACTCCAGGGTCCCTTGCCAAGCCCCACACGATGACACTGGGAAGAACATCGGCATCCCATCGCCACAGCCGGCATCATTTCCAGGCTTCTCCTGGGGGGATGAATTCTCTGGGTTAGTGGACCGGGGCTCACCTTCATCAACGGAGTGCAAGCCCCCGAGCCAGCTCTGTGTGCACGTACCTTAGGCAAAGGCGGACAGGTTTCTTACTGTGAAGCCGGCGACCCCAAGGGGCATCCACCCTGAATGGCTCCCATCGAAGGCCTCAGTCCTGCTGGTCACTGCCAATATGGCAGTCGTCACGGTGGCACGCTGCAGGGGCTGGTGGCAGCCAGGATACTGCCCTCCGCACGGGCCACATCCTGGAGGCGGTGGCGCCCAGGTGACACCATCTCCACCAACCTGGGGATCTGGGCCAGCCTCCCTTCTCCATAACCAGGGGACACTCTGAAGCCCTCGTTCTCCTCCCAAACCGAGTGCCGCGTGCGGGAAGCCCTCCAGGGCAGCTGCTGAGCTGGAGGTGCGCTGGCGGCGTGGTCCCCAGCAGGAAGGGGCGGAGGACACCGAGGAAACGCCAGAGTCTCCAGGTGCAACGCGGCAGAACCCGGAGCCCCGCCGGGGTGGCCCGCAGTGGCTCGGAGAAGTCACCTGGGGAGGAAGCGGACACAGGGCCCAGTGACCATGGTGAGGAGCGGGGAACAGAGCCGAGGCGAGCCCACCTTTCACACACCTGAGGAGGCGTCAGGCCTGTGTCCAGGGAGCCATCTGGGCCAGACTTGGCACTTGGAAGCAGATCGCCCATGGAGAAGTCTTCACGGAGGAAGCGGCCTGGCCTCTCCTCTCCCCGAGCACCACGACGGAGCGCAGAGCCACATCTCCCCTGGGAAGCCACCTTGCAAAGGCTGGGTGAGGGGCTCAGGCCCAGGGGGGGCTCAGGGCCCTGCTTGGGCCCCAGGCCCAGCCACCGGGGTCAGGTCGGTGCAAGTTGGCATTGAAAGTGTAGGCAACGCAGTACAACCGTGAAAACCCCTCAAGCTCACAGCAAGCACCGCAAAGCAACCCGGGCTCCCCACCCTCACCCGGCCTGGCCTCCAGGAAGCCTCCCGAGGAAGCTCCGAACCGGCCCGGGGCGCGGCACACCAAGCACACACTCTCACGTCTCCTGCGCGGCCGGCCCTCCGAGGCACAGTTTGATATTCAAAAAGAGGTTAACCATGTATTATTCATGATGAATGAAGCGAACATAACAAGGATAACCTCTCCTCAAATATCCTTGAACAGTTCTGAACCGAAACCACGGCTTCTTCCCCACCGCCGCCTTTGCCTCCGGAAGATTCCGCGTGGGATGAGCCGAATGCCGGGGTCCGGGGCGAGACGCTCACACCCTGTCAAGAAAGCACACGTGCTGGTGTCAACCATGCGGTCCCACATCTTGGTCCCAGGGCCTACACCCGGCCCTGACACCAGAGTCCAAAGCCCGAAGTTGGATCCGTGCTCAGAAAGGACTCTACGTCAGGTCCAATCGGAAGAGAGCAAGCCTCCCTCGGGGACTCCTGAGAGATGGGATCTGATGGCAAGACACCAGCAGATGAACATGTGTCACAGGCAAGGAAAGATCACGGGTAATGTCGCCTGCGATGAAATGGGGTGTCACCATTTCAGGGTCCCCGCCGCAGAGACGGCCTCGGTTCCCGGAATGCCTCCGCGGGACTGCCTGGAAACGGACGCCCACGTCGTCTGCGCCGGGCGAGCTGGCTGTTGACCCAGCACCCAGCACGTCTTGCCGGGGCTCACTCCGGCGGCCCGTCCCTGAATCGGGTCTTGTATCTGGGAAGCCCTTGGAGGCATGGTTTGATCTTAAAGAAGAGCAATCTCATGACATTTATGCGTAAAGCGAATCCACCACAGATAACTGCTGTTCCAAACCCACAGCGCAGCGTGTTGGTTCTGGGAAGCTCTCGCATGATGGATGGCAGATGGAGTGTGGGGAGACAGGGGCACACGCCACAGAGGAAGTGCAGCATCTCCAGCCCGGGCTGCCACCAGTGTCATCCACAGACCAGCAGCGTTAGCATCACTTGAGAACTTGCTAAAAATGCAGAATCTTGGTCCCTGAATCAGAATCTGCTTTTTAACAAGATCCCTAGGTGATGAACATCTTAGAAGCATTTTAAAGTTTGAGAAACACTTCTCTAGCCAACAACTTATAACATGCGTGTACACACACACACACACACACCTGAGGTGCTGTTGGCCA